GCTGCTGCCAGTGCAGAGGGTCGCACAGCGCCGCACCTCTGCCTGCCTGTGGCACACACTGTCTCTGTGGGCCGGCGGTGTCTGCAGAGCATCGCTCAGCCTCACCACACCCGTTTTCCAGTAAAGGAACCCAAGGACTCCCGAAATGCTTCTCTTAGTCTGTTCTACCCCTTGAAAAGCTGAGCAGCCCCGAGCAAGCCCCCACGATAAGGGTCAGTCACCACCGATGAGCATCTGTGCTGCAGTCAGACAGCACCAAGAGGGGACAAGCAAATTCAGACGCAAGAACATCACACCCTGACTTGGATCCTGACCCTTACAACCCAGGGGCTAGCAGCAACAGCTGAGGCGCGAGCAAGCAGAGCCAGGATGTGAAACAACTGGTATCAAGTAAGAGCACAGGGCGGTGATGAAATCTGCCATGTGCACCTCCACCACACCCAGGTGATCCGGGGCTGAACACTCCCTGTCAAGGCTCGAGGCTCCTGCCCTGGGACCCAGGCCTGGCACACTGACACCAGTTTTTGCATTGCCATCAGCACCTTGAACTTGAACTGAGCACCATCTGCCAACTGGCACAGGGGGGGTCAGATCTGGGGCAAGATCTGGTGGTAAGATCTAGGGCAGCCCCTTGACTCCTGCACTCACCAGCCCGTGCCTCGTGTAGACAGCAGTGCTGGGGGGCTCGCAGCCCGCTCCCCTCCCTCGGGGGTGCACGGAGCCGCTGGTGCTGCTCTGGGCTCGCTCCGCACATGGGACACGGATTGCATCTACAGCTCCACTCACTGCAGTGCCACTCTACCCCACGGCATGCAATACAAAGGCACACTGAGCCCTCACTATAAGATTATAAATCACTCTGGAGGGCTTAATGTTTTCTGAAGCACCTCCTGTGCTTCCAGAAATGAGAACTCCCTCGTGCTCCATCTCCTTTGTTTTATCCAGAGGTTGCAACCCAGACCCGATGCCTCTCTCCTTGGTCGGGCAGGAGCTCTGCTGCCTGTTTGTCTATAAAATTAATGCAGGCCCCCACAGATCAGGTGGGGGAGGACCCAGGGGAGAGGAGATTTAGCACTGCTCCATAATTAGCTGGGAACCTAAGCCCCCTCTCCAGAGCTGCCTTCACCCTGTTCTCGCGTTATCACTCCCTCTCACCCAGACCAGCTGCTCTGGTGATTAGATGGTTGTTTTGGGGGGAGGGAGGCAGAAGTCGTGACTAAAAGCCTGGAACAATGTGTTATTTTAAAAGGCATGTTGGTGCAGTGAAATAAACTGCAATTGCTTTCAGGGAGAGAGGAAGGGGGAGGCAGCGGGCAGGAAGGGAAAGGGTAGCCCAGGGGAGGCAGAGGGGTGTGCCTGATGCCCACTGGGGCCACAAACGAGCAGGAGGAAAAAGGGTTCAATTCCTGCAAGAAGGACGACAGTAGCTCATCACCTCCTCCTCAGCCCGCAGGAAGATGGATAATGGTCCCTGCTGCTCAGCTCTGAAGCAAGCTGGCATTGCCCTGGAGGCACTGCCGAGAGAAAGATGAGGAAAGGCAGAAAGAGAAGAGAGGAAGAAGAGCCCAGGAGGAGGAAGAGCCTGGGACCCCACCTCTTCCCCTTCCTAACTGTGACCTGGAGGAGCAGTTCCTCCTCTGATGCCCAAGCCAGCTGCGAGCAGGTAGCTGATCCCAGTGCTGCCAAACTCTCCCTAGGACCTGTCAGCATGGTGCATGTGACAGCAGCTCTGCAGGGCCAGGTTGGGACACCTGGGTGAGCCCGAGCACAGCAGCCTCCCTTCCAGAGCATGTCTCACAGCCTCGTCAGGAGGGCTGTGATCAGTGTATTTAGAGCTGGGCATAACCATAGGTCTGTCCTCATCAGCAAGCAGCTTGCCAGGAGTGGTTTATGCTGTGCACACGAGTGGGGTCATCCATGCACCACGGCACAGTGCCGAGGACCCGCACCGACTCCTCTGCCAGAGCCATAACTAACATCCCGCTCCCCTGAGTGCAGCTCAAAGCACAGTTGTCCTTTCTAAATGCACCCTGTCATAAAAAAGCTCTCCTTTTGCCCTTCTGAAATTGCTGAAGCCCGAGGCTCACGCTTACTCCTGGCTCAGTGACAGGGTTAAAGTTTGACGTCTCCAGGAATATCAAGGATAGAAATGCAACCATTGCATCGTTGTCTACTCTTCAGTGAGGCACACATTGGCTTCTTTTTTTTTTGGCTGTACCACGATCTATTTGAAGGTTCCTCAAATGCTTTCTTTGTCAACCACCCTCTTCCTTTGAGCCAGCACTTGGATTTATAGTTGGAAAATATGAAAAATGGTTGGATGTATTTGAAAAAAAAAAAAATCTCCAAAACATCTCTGAAATACGTTTTCTGTAACTTGTGTGGCATAAACTGAATTTATCATGGTCAGCGTGCAAATAAGACTGTTGGAGTACATCTGTGATGAAAGGCATGATGCGCCTAACTAATGCAGACTTCACATCTGCAAGGCCAAAAGCTCTGACCTGTGCTTCCTCCACATACACAGAAATATATGCACGTACCCCTACACATGCTCCAGCACACGGAAGTAAATGCTCGGCAGACATGTACCACTGCCAGGAAGAAGAGCAGAGTGGGTGAATGACAGCTGCGGGAAGGCACAGAAACGTGCCCTTGAAGGGCTCTGCCAAGCAGCGCCTGGCCAGTGGATGGGACGGAGGGTTGCACGTGCCAAGCTGAGTGCGACCGGAGAGGGAAAAAGTCATCTTCCATTGCAGCATCTCTCCTTGATATTCCAGCTCAGCTGACTGACATGCAAATTAGTTTAATTATTTCTTCTTCTAAAATAAATTATATTTTGCAGTGGCTGCAATATGTTGTGTCAGGCAAAATTATATTCAATATTTTTAAACTAATTGATGTCAGCCTTGAGAAAACCTGATTGACAGCAGTGAGGAAACTATGCTGCTACCTAAATGCTTTCCTAAATTAAAATTAAACATGCAGTTTTTCTGCATTTCCTCCAGGAGTTGGAATGCTATTAATCTAAAAACACTGAGGATAGAGACATGGAAAATACACAAAACAAGGGGGAGATGCTGGAAACACAGCAGCGCAGTACGGGAGCTCCAGGCTGATGACTGGCAGTTGCCTTTACCAACATGGGCTGAATTATTTCGGAGCCGCTGGAGCCTGCCAGGGGTGGGAGACAGAGTTCTGCCCATCGCTTCCACTCTGCAGCGCCTGCACTTTCCTCAATGCTACAAACAGGGCAGCGCAGGGATGGGCAGCGCCTGGCTTTGGAGCAGGAGAAAGCCACAGTCCTGCTGCACAGCAACACTGAGGCCAAGCCTCAGATGCTCCAGCTGAATCTTCAGCCACATCCCAAAGTATTTTTTTCTTAATTTAATTAACCATGAAAGTAATCTGAACAGTACAATATTCTTGTCTTAAACATTCAGATGCAAAATGCCAACAAGTTGCCCTCTCCCCAGGTTCTGGACAGCCAACTGCCTGCTGGACTGACACCGAGCAGCTCTGGGCAACGGCTCTTAAATGCTGGAAGCTTTGCAGAAGCAGCTCACGATAATGGGAAGGGATTGCCGAGATGCTCAGCCACTCCTGCCACAGCAGGAAAGGAGGGGATCCATGGTTACTGCCGTGCTGGGATCCAGTCCTTACTCCTCCAGACCCTCACACGAACTCACAATAAAGCACTTTGCATTTTTACACCCAAACCTCTACTGTGAAGCTCCAAATCCAACCGTTGCTGAAGCACACATACCGTTTGCACTCCTGCCTGCACACATAGCCACGTAGCCATACCATACGCAGAAAGGCGCTCTGCAGCTTTCCTGGGGTCTGAAGCACAGTTTGAGGAAAGCCCAGAGGACCGCAGGCTGCTCTTTGTGGCTGCATCACCTGGGGAAACACAGCTCACAGACTCTGTCAGGCGCAGTGTACAACCCACTCTCTCTGCCTCAACACCAAATTGGTACAATACCGAGTTCAAAATCTTTACATTAGCAGGGAAGCCAGAAGAGGCAGGGGTGGAATTTACTCCTCACTATCTCAGCAAATTGGGAGAACAAAATGCAGATTAGAAGACTGGGATGAGCCATTCTGCTTTCCAGCACTCACGCCATGGCTGTGAAGCACAGGGTGGTTTTGTAGATGTCAGCGCAGCTGCCTGACTGCAAAGCAGAGTGCTGATGGCAAGGACAAAGCAGGGCATGCCAGGGGTATGGCTCGACGGACACAGGCAGCTACATCAGAGGCTGGAGCTGAAAACGTGGCTCCCAGCTGAGGGGAAGCAAAGCGGAAGCAGCAGTTAAGCCAAGTAACATATAAACAGCTCTCGCCTCTCCCGAGTCTTGCCCGAACTCAGCAGCATGAGAATCATTAAATCGCATCCAAACACAATGCTCTGATTAAAGCCAGTCTCCAGCAGGAGATTTATCATCTCAATTACCAGCAGTGGACACAGCAGTCAAGGCCTCATCATTTTACATGAGCAAAGAGGAAAACAGGAAGAGAATCACTAATATTAGCCCAAGGAAGGCAAACAGCTTGCAAGTAAGATGAAGATTTATCTCTGGAAACGCTTGGCCTGGTCCCAGGCCAGATTTGCTGAACAGCCCCCATGCTTCCTGCTGGGTGCCACATTGCAAGGCCAAATATTCTTTGGTCACCAGCTGGCAGAGGCAGCTCAGGCTGGGGAGTGCCTGTTCCGCACGGGGAGACCTGCCCCCCCTCTCCTCCCACCAGCAGCACACAGCCCAGCCAGCCTCACAGCTGCAGCCAGGCGCCTTCTGCGGCTTTTCTTACTGCTCCTCAGATGCAAATACACTCTCTTCGGTTATCCGTAGGTGAGGGATGCACCCCTGGACACAGTCTCTGCTGCAGCAGCACCAGGTCCCAGATGGGACTCTCAAAGGTGGGGGGACAGCTCTTGTATCGAGCTGCTCAAGCCTAACAGACAGGCTGCCTGCAGGAACAAGTGCTGTCAGCAGGCAAGCTTTCCATCAGCTGCCATTCGTTAAACCCTTCTCAGGACAGTCCTGCCAGCAGGCAGGGAGA